GCTGTGGAGAGCTGGCATTTTAGCAGACAGGAATCTGCTCAGGGAATTGCCCAATTGCATACCAGATTGTGGGTGATGTAAGAGCTTAAGCTTTAGAAGTTGTGAAAGAAATGGATAGAGTTTTGTGGGAAGGCACTGACTTCTGCAGCATGAAATGCTGCTCAGCTCTCACAGCCTGCTTTGTGTTACATGCTGTGGCTGGTTCCCATCACCACCACAAAGAAGACAAACGTCTAAAACATTGGAGAACTTTGCAAAGAGGCAGAGAGGAGCCAAGGCTTAGGGTGCCCAGCACACCTCTGGCTGTGTCTGTGGGAATAGCTGGTAGGAATAGCAGGCTGGGCATCCTGCAGTGGGAACAGCAGGCTGGGTGTGCTGTGATGGGAACAGCAGGCTGGGTATGCTGTGGTGGGAGCAGCAGGCTGGGTGTGCTGTGATGGGAACAGCAGGCTGGGTGTGCTGTGGTGGGGCTGCAGGTGTGACAGGGGACTCCTTGCTTGCAGGAAGAGATGTCAGGAGAAAGCGTGGTGAGCTCAGCGGTGCCAGCAGCGGCCACTCGCACCACCTCCTTCAAAGGGACCAGCCCCAGCTCCAAGTATGTCAAGCTGAACATCGGGGGGGCCCTGTACTACACCACCATGCAGACACTGACCAAGCAGGACACCATGCTCAAGGCCATGTTCAGTGGCAGGATGGAGGTGCTGACGGACAGTGAAGGTAAGAGGCTGCTCCCGTGGCCCTCCTGCTGGCTTCCCTGCTGCTTTGTGCAAATAGGATGGAAAGGGTTGGAGAAAAATATGGGAGAGCAAAGAGGAACATCTGAGCCACAGGCCCAGGCATTTCCGTGTTTGATTGGTGTTAAAACTTGTGTCTTAGAAAAGATGTGGAACAGAAAACATGGATGACTTGAATCACTGTGTGAACAAAAGGATGGTGAGGAGTCCTGAGGTTCCCGTCAGGCCCAGATAACACAGGCTTTTTCTTTTGAAATACCAACACTAAAGCTCTTCAGTGTCTGGAAAATGGTGGGGACAGTGAGTAAGAAACTGTGAGTCAGGACTCGTGTGTTTACTCTGAAGCACAGAAGGCAGTTCCCTGCCTGTTGCCTTCCCTCAGACACGAGTATAAAGGCTGCTCTTAACATCGGGGATTTTATGAGCTAAAAGATGAGGGTTTGGAATGAAACTGGCTCCCTGTGAGAGTATTGATGGTTGGCTTTGCTAAACAACCAGCTGCAAATTGCTCAGGAAATTTGCTCCAGTATCCCTGACAGGAGAGGACAAGAGCTGGAAATGGGTCTGTCCACTCTAAAGGTGGCTGGAGAGAAGGAACCTGCAGTGTGTCCAGCTGCACTCTGCTGAGGGAGCAGTGCTCAGATACTTCATTTCTGTAACAGATACTTTGATTTTCTCTTCTGCTGAGATTCTTTCAAACATTTAAATTAATAATATGGCTAAAATGTGTTTGTGGCAACTGATCCTGGTGACATAGCTTGGTGTCAGTATTCCCACACGGTGGGAGTGTCACAGGGTTGAACTGGAGGCACAGCTTTCTATTTGTGCCCAGACTTTTTGCCCATAATTATGCTTATGGGTTTGTTTACCTTGTCTTTAAAAAGAGCTGCTGCATTGCTGAGCCTGGAGGTTCAAAACACCTTTGTTGTGACTGGTTCATTACTTGACATTTCTGTCTGAACTTGCTGAGAGCACCCAGGGTGCAGTGTGTGCTCAGGGGAGCAGGGCTGAGCTGTGTGTGCTTCACAGTAGGCTGTATTTGGAGGTCATGTGGATGGATTTAGTCTGGCTCTTGTGGTAAGCTTTCTGGAGATAGGAAGAAGTGGATTTGGAGGAAAAAATTGTAAAATGTAGAACCTAATTATCCAACTATTCTGCAGGGTTCCAGGTGTGGTTTCATGCCCTTGGATGTGAAGCAGGAACATTGGTGCTGTAGGCTGTGGGCTCTGGGCTGCCTCACTGGTCTGTGCAGGTTGCATAAAAGAGCTGGGCAGTGGGGAGATAGGAAATACCCCATGGGAAATGGGAATTGGCACCTTACTGGGAGGACTGGAGAGGGACTCCAGCAGGAAGGGTGGGAACTGGTTCATTGACGGCCTCTAAACTTGCTGCTTCAGGCAGTGCCAAAAGTTTCCTCCTGCCCCTCACTAAAGCTGCCCTGCCTGTCACAAAATGGGACAGTTTGAGACTTCCCAAGTCCTTCAGCTTGGAAATGGATCAGATTCCAAATTAATTCTGGAAGCCCACCCTGGTGTGGGCTCAGCCCTTCCTCCAGGCATCCTGGTGCCACAGGAGGAACGTGGTGCTCCCGAAGCTCAGGGGCTGTGCCAGTGCAGGCACTTTCTGCTGGAAAGCAGCTGATATTACTGCTAATGGGAGGGTAACTGGAGGTTAATCTGCTAAAATATCGTGCTTGAGATGTTGCATTGCGAGTTGATTTTGCTGTGAATCCCACAGTGTCTGTGTGGGATTGTTCCCTTTAGCTGCTTCAATAGGAATTTGATACTTCCTGCATGTTGTAAGTGAGACATTCCCATCCCAGCAGCTCCTGCTTTATCTCCCCTGGCCTGGCCTGGTGCTGGCAACTGGGACAATAGCATTAGAGCTGTTAAAAGAAACTCTTTTTATCTGAAATTCTTCAAAGTTTCTCCTAATTGGTCACACCCAAAATCTGTCGCAGAACAAAATGTTTCTTAGGAAAAGAAGCCAGAGAAGCTGGAAGGGCTAAAGTTTGGAAACAGCCCATGGGATGTGTCACTCGGGGCCCTCCTCTGTGTTCAGGCACATTCTTCTGACCCCAGCCCCAGCTCTTCCCCAAAGCTCAGCAATTGCAACATGCTGCACATCAGGCCATAGGAGGAAAGATGGGAATTCTCTGGTGGTGGATGGTTATTTTTGGCTTGAAAATTGTTCACCAACTGTAGCAAATCAGCATATTTTGAAAATGTTATTTTTCTGGTGATGAGAAGGATGTCTGTTTCCCAGGTGCATCCATCTGTTCCCCATTTTCTTTTCTGCAGTGTGATTTATTTTTTTCCTCACTCTCCACTGCTGTTAACCAGCTGATGGAGGTGCCTGGTTTTTGTTCAGCTGCAGGTCAGGTTCTGGAGCACCAGGCAGCTCCCAGTGTCAGGCTGCTAGTTCAGCTGTCAAGGCTTGGTCAGAAAATGTCACCTGGTTTAGCAGGAGGGTTTGGATGCTATCCCTGAGACTTGTTGTAAAACAAAAGGTTATTTTCCTAAAAGTAATGTGTGCACATGCAGTCCATGGATCACACATTGCTGCCTCAGTCAGTGGATCCCAGGGCATTTTTGTAGCCATTCTCCACACGCTGCAATTAAAAAATGGCTTTAAAAGTCTGTAACTGACACGAGTTGTCAGGCTCTGCAGTACCCTGGCTGAGTGGCAGGAGGGTCACTGCTGGGAGCCAGCTCTCCTGGGCTACCTGCCTGGCTCTTTGCTTATAGCAGGTTTTCTGAAGGCTGTTTTAGCAGTCAGTTGGATTTTGCAATGCGGCTCCAAATACTTTCTCATCCCCCCAGCTCATGAAGATGAGCAGTCCTGCTTTGGGTTCACCATCTGCAAACATGGAGTTGCAGCAGATTTTTGCAGCCTGCAGAAGGAATCAGTCACAGTTGAGATGGTGACAAAGAGGTCTGGGGATCATAGTTCTGCTCTCAGACTGCCCTTGACCTCCCTGTGTGCTGCTGTACTCTGGTAATCTGTCAACAGCTGCATCTGTGGGCTGTGGATGCCTGTGCTTGTTACCATGTCTTGTGCTCCCTCTTTAAATTGGGAGATCTTCCTTTAGATACCTCTGCCCTGACACACAGCCCTGATCCTGGCTGCTTGGAGACCTACACTGTGTTCATTAGCCTGGAGCAGTTCTGTGATTTCTCTCTCTCTGGTTCTGCCTCCAGCTTCTCATTTGCTATCACAGTCTGTGCAGTGACAGTTGTGAGCACACACAGTGTTCTGTGTAGGCAGCAGGGCAGTGAGTGAGATGGGGAGGCCTGAAGTGAAGGGCTGGAGGGTGTCTGAGTTTTCCACAGAACAGCTTGGACAGGCTGTGTTCACTTTCCAAATTGAACCAAATGTTCAGACTTTACTAGTTATTCCATTCATGCAGAACACACAGGGTCTGCTTTAACCTACTTTCCTTATTTGTCCAAAATATGACTCCTTCCCACAAGTGTTTCCTCGCTCCCTCCCTGCAGCCCATCAGAGTGGCCAGCTGTTCATTTATGGAAACCAGAGCCTCGGCGCTGCCTGACGTTCCTTGGGGTCCAGCAGGAAGGGGAGCCCAGATCCTCTCATCCCCAGCAAACTGGGAACATGTTGGTTGTAGCTCTGGTCCCTTCACAGCTCTGTCAGTGCTGGGCAGTCCCAGGGCAGGGGCTGGACCTGCTGCTCTGCCTACACCTGCAGTAGCATCACATCTTTCAGCAGTTCCGTGGCCACTTTGTTCTACCAAGTTTATGCACACTGGGAATACAGAGACTGAAGCAGTGTCTGCCAGGACACTGCCAGGTCTGTGCTGCCTTTCTCTTGCCCACCTTTTTGCACATCTCCTGGAGCAGGGTGGGTCCCTGTGTTATGTTCAGGTGCAGTCTGTAGATGGTCAAGTCTGGGTGGCTCTGGTCAGTTGTCAGAAACAGCCACACGTGTGTGACAGGACCCTGAGGAAGAGGACAAAAAAAATACATTGGGGCTTTGGGAAGAGAGGGAGAACAGAGCTGGGGGGTGTGAGAATGAAAAGTATTTATTCTTCCATTTCGGTTACTAATTTGTCAATAACTGGGGAGCTATGAGAAACAAGTCAGCTTCCTCCATTGCTCCCCACATTCTCTGCACTTGAGTTGCAGGAAAAGACAATAAATTCCAGGTGCTTTTTGCTGCTCTGCTCCCCAGCTGCTGGAGTTAGTCTCTCTGGGCAGGAACCTGCTTGGTGCAGCAGTCCCAGGCTGGTGTCAAGGCCTTTTGCCACCTTTGCCACTGCTTCTCCTGTACCATGGTGTTCCTCTGTCCCCAGGCTGGATCCTGATCGACCGCTGTGGGAAGCACTTTGGGACCATCCTGAACTACCTGCGGGACGGGGCTGTGCCGCTCCCTGAGAGCCGCAGGGAGATCGAGGAGCTGCTGGCTGAAGCAAAGTACTACCTGGTGCAGGGGCTGGTGGACGAGTGCCAGGCAGCCTTGCAGGTAGGTCACAGAGCTGAGGAGGGACCAGGTCACTCTGGCTGCAATGAGGGGGCAGAAAGAGGAGTGGGAAGCAGCATCTGGGCAGAGCAAGATTCTCTGCTGGCCTTGACTTGGTGCCTTTTTGAGGCTGGGACGAAATTGCAATATTTGATCTACTGGAGTCTGGTCACATTCAGGAAAAGGCAGTGAGTTATTCCCAACATTTAGAGCTACCTAGTTACAGTGAGGGATGAAGAGTTGCTCTGTTTCTCTCTGCTGACTCCTGGCAGCATGTGGAACTCCTCTGCAGCATTATCCTCTGCCATCAGGGTCTTACACAGGGAAATGATCCATCATCAGCATGAGATCTGTGATAAAAGTTAATATTTCCAGACGGGGACAGGTCCTTTGGCTGGACCAGAGTAGCTGTTTATAGGGAGTCCTATTTTTTGACTTGTTTTCCTCTAGAGGTGCCCAGCTTTGGTTTGAAGTCATTGTTACTGGTGTCCTGTTGGAATTAAGCCATATTCCAGAATCCTGCCCTTTAAATTGGACATAACATCATGTCCCAGTGTTTGCAGAGTGGTAAAGAGCAGGAATGAGCATGTCAGGTGTTATCCTCTGCCATCAGGGTCTTACACAGGGAAATGATCCATCATCAGCATGAGATCTGTGATAAAAGTTAATATTTCCAGACGGGGACAGGTCCTTTGGCTGGACCAGAGTAGCTGTTTATAGGGAGTCCTATTTTTTGACTTGTTTTCCTCTAGAGGTGCCCAGCTTTGGTTTGAAGTCATTGTTACTGGTGTCCTGTTGGAATTAAGCCATATTCCAGAATCCTGCCCTTTAAATTGGACATAACATCATGTCCCAGTGTTTGCAGAGTGGTAAAGAGCCGGAATGAGCATGTCAGGTGGTCACCCAGGAGTGCCAGCCTGGGTCAGAGCATGGACCAGACACAGTTGCTCCTTAAGGCTGGGCTGCAGCCTGAGCTTGGATCTCTTCAGTCGGTGTCAGTGTCCCAAGGCCTCTTGACCTTCAGCCACTGTTTGGTTCTTGTTCCAGCAGAACAAAGATGCATACGAGCCCTTCTGCAAGGTGCCAGTCATCACCTCTTCCAAAGAGGAGCAGAAACTTATTGCCACTTCCAACAAGGTGAGGGGCTGGGTGGTAGGAAGGGTGGGGGTTGCTGCCTGCTGCCCTGGGCCTGCCTGGGGCCTTGCCCAGGTGTTCTTTGGAAAATGGTCCTTACTGGCAGTGCTGGGCTCACCCAAAACACATACACCAGCAGTAACAAAATCCCACTGGGCTTGGGCTGTGCAGCTTCTCTGCTGTGGGGTCTTGGCCTGAGCTGAGACCCCAGCTCTCACTGTGCTTCCTGTGACTGATCTGGGGTTTGTGTTTTACAGCCAGCAGTGAAGTTGCTGTATAACAGAAGCAACAACAAATATTCCTACACCAGGTAAGTGACTTTTTCATCAACTAAAATCTCTGATGAGCGTTTGCTCTTTCTGCACTCAGAACCAGTGACATATTGGTGCTGGCAGGCACTCAGTCTTTTCCCAGTTAGTTTCAAACTTGAGTTAGAAGGGAGCTGCTGCCACCAGTGGAAGGCTGAGCATGTGCTGTCTCCGTGCCAGAGGATTTCTCTGATGTCAGGTGCAGCTGGCAGAGGCCCCATGCCAACTGCTGGCCCACCTTCTCCATGGGCACCTTAGTTGAATGCAGGAAGCCTCCCATGCCCAGAGGGGTTGGAACTGGATGGTGCCTTCCAAACCAAACCTTTCTGTGATGATATGGTGCAGTATTCTCAAGAAGTGGTAGACTTACCAAGCCTGGGACCTTGTCTCTTTTCCCCTATGTCCGTGTTTTGTGACATAACACTGTTCCCATCCAGCTGGTGCTGAGCTTAGCAATGGTTTCTTTTGGGTGGCAGAGTTTTGTACAAAAAAGAAGTGGCCTTGGACACGTTCCCAGGACTGCTGATGCCATATGACTGCTTTGGCAGCAGGTTTTCCTCCTCGTACTAGTCAAATGAGTTACCTACTGCAGTCCTGGGTACTAACCAGCACTGCCTTATAAAGATGGAGTAAGTCGAAGGAGCCTGAGTGTCAGGGCCTGCGAGGGCTCTGCCTGAGCCCCTGCCTGCACTACCCCAACACGACCCCTGCCTTCCTCTCACAGCAACTCTGATGACAACATGCTGAAGAACATCGAGCTCTTTGACAAGCTGTCCCTGAGGTTCAATGGCAGAGTGCTCTTCATCAAAGATGTGATTGGGGACGAGATCTGCTGCTGGTCCTTCTACGGGCAGGGGCGGAAGATCGCCGAGGTCTGCTGCACCTCCATTGTTTATGCTACTGAGAAGAAGCAGACAAAGGTAGGAGCGAAGCCCTGACTGCTGCCAGCTGTGGGCTGAGCTGCTCTCAGCCTGGCACCCTGACATCTGTTTTCTTTTGAACACTCCTGTCATTGTTGAGCATCTCTGTAGAATAATCAGCGCCTTTCAAAGCAGGAGCAGCCCAGCAGAGCTCAAGTTGTGGGTTCCTGGGAGTGGGGGCACTTCACACAGCATCATTGTCATCTTCCATAACACAGGTTTAGTCCAGTTCTTCATCTTCAGACAAACTCACTCACTTAACAAAGTCTGGTTTGCATCCCTGTGTAGAAGCAGATCCTGGGAAGCCATGGCACACCTTCCCCATGCTGCCCTACCCTTCCCAGGGGGAATCTGCCCAAGTCTGCCTAGCGGGTAGGCCTGTTCTGAGAAAACAAACCCAGCCTAGTTGCTGGGCCTTACGAGCTGAAAGGAAATAATAGAACAGGAACAATTGTGCTAGGAAGGATTTCTGTGGCTGGAGTGCAAAGCAAAAATTTTAAACCATGAGAGGTGTCAGGAATTACGAAGAGGTGACCCCAGGCAGCGGGTGAGTCACCTTCTCTCTTTGGTGACAGGTGGAGTTCCCAGAAGCCCGCATCTATGAGGAGACACTGAACATCCTGCTGTACGAGTCCCAGGATGGGAGGGGACCTGACAACGCGCTCCTGGAGGCCACTGGAGGGGCAGCAGGTCGGTCCCACCACCTGGAGGAGGACGAGGAGCGGGAGCGCATCGAGCGCGTGCGCAGGATCCACATCAAGCGCCCGGATGACAGAGCCCACCTGCACCAGTGAGCCCTGCCCGGGGGGGCTGCCCTTCCTCTGACCCAGGACCTGCAGCAGAGCACCAGGTGGTTTAACTTCTGCTCAGCAAAGTCTGTAAATTATGTTTTGTAACAAACTAGATGATTTGGGGTATTTAAATGCAGTAGTTCTAGGGCACGAATAAGTGAGGTTGCTGGGCATATGATGGGTACTGTGAGGACCTGTTGAGCACCTGGAGAAATGCTCTGAATTGTTAGCACTCATTGTCTTTGCTCTTTTGTGGCTAGGGAGGAAGAGGCTTCCTTTGGATTAGTAGTTATCCTGCACTTTAAAAAAAAACAAACAACAAAAAACAAACCACCAACAAAGAAAGGTCAGTCAGCTGTGCATCCCCCTCTGGGCACCCACTGCCCTTGCCTCCTCCTGGGCATTCTGCCATGGGAGAAATGCAGGTGTGATCACACCAGAGCTGCTGCAGAACTCCCTTTCTCCCAGGCTGGTGGCTCATGAGAGCCTCACCATGATGCCCAGAAGGAGAACAGACCCGTGCTGACCTGTTCCTGTAGTGCTGGGGGAGCAGGGGGACTGCTTGGGCTGTTGCTCTGCCTCCCTGCAGCTCGTGGGACCTGCTCCTCCAAGGGCTTATTGGAGCTGCTGCAGCCCTGAGCTCGGAACCCCCCCCTGTAGCCAAGCAGTTTGGTTGAAATTCCTCCAAAAGGACAATGAGGAGCAAATTCTCTGATTGCTTTTCCTGAGGGTGGTGGGGCTGCCTGTTAGTGCTCAGAACTTCTGCCTGGCCCCAGATCTCAGCTGGGGGGTTGGTTCCATGGGACCACAGGGCCCTGAGCTCATTGTGGGCAGCCCCCCTGCCAGCCCAGCCCTGCTTGGTTCTGTGACCCCCACAGGAGCACTGCCTTGCTTGGAGCCAGGGCAGCAGCAGTGCTGTGGGGAGGAGAAGTCACCAGTGGCCTAGAGGTGGTTATTCCTTGTTTGACTTTCCCTGAGCATATTCCAAGTCCTTTCAGAAATGGCAGCTGTGTGTGGAATGGCAGAGCTAAAATGTTTTGCAGAAAAGACCTATGTAGTCTAGTTTCTAAGAGTACTTGTCTATTATAATGAATATTTTATCTACCTCCTAGTCTCTTGTTGCCTGTTGTGGAGTCAAGTATCAATTACAGCAGGAGATGGTGTGTTATTCCATAGGGCTGGATGGCACAGGATAATGAACAGAGCCACAGCTGGGATGGGTAATGTCACAAATCCTGAGAGGGAGAGAAACCCAAGGTAGGAAGTCTGGCTGGCACCTTGGCAGACACCAGAGAACTTCAGCCTTTTCTAAAGGTTTTTGATCCTTCAGCTGGAGTATCTGGTACTAGCCTTGCTGGCCAGACCTCTCACACAGGGCAGCAGCTCCATGTTCCTGTTCCTTAGCCAGGTGGGTGTTTGGTTTTGCCCAACTTCCTGCTGCAGGGATTCCTGCTCCTGGTCAGAGCTGCTAATGCCACGTTAAGGCTGTTGAAACCAAAGTTGTTGTGAGCATCACCAGCCACGTTACCCCAGTGTTGCTGTTTCAAACAGCAGCTCCAGCCCAGGTGTAGCTTGTCTGTGGAGGATAAAATAAAGCACCAAGTGTTTTTGCTCAGTGATCAGATTCTGAATCATCAGATAAAGCTAAAAAGATGTCAGAGTTAGGCTGAGGTCATAATTTTACTAACCAAAGAGTTCTCTAAGTTACAGACAGCTCTGGCAGGTGTGTTGGGGTGGTTGTACCTGTCTCCTCTAGTCTTTCTTCTGCAGCTACTCATTGATAGGCAAGAGCTCAGCAGGGACAGATGTGTCAGTTATTCTGTAGTTCAGCAGCTTTGGTCACATCGTGGCAGTTGGGGCTGCTCTTTCATCTCTGCTTGCACATGTCTGCAGCATCCCTTGGGTTTGTACAAGCCCACAGTGCAGACTGGGGGGTGCAGGGCCCAGGGCCTCTCCCTGCTTCCCTTCCTGGTGTGATAAGCTGGAGGGGTAGATGGGAAGTCCCCTGCCCTGCTGTGTCCCCAGCACCGTGCACTCTGACACTCAGGAGGGGGCTTTGGAGAGTGGAGAGGTCCTGAGCAGCTCTAACAGCCCTGTTGCCCTCCCAGCTGTGCTCTGGAAAGCCCTCCAGCCTGACAGCCCCTCTGTGCTCCTGGAAAAGGAAACACCAGCCCATTACTGTAGAATATGCTGACAGTCCTGCAGCCACCCCTGCTCGCTTTGTTAATGGTAACCAGCTGGCTCTGTCCCCAGGCAGGAGGGCCAGGCCAGCTGGACCCTCCCTGCTGCACTGCCCCTGTCCCCCCTCAGTGCCAGGGGGGCTGCAGCCCCCCAGCACTGGTGCAGTCCTGTCCTGTAGTGCAGGAGCAGGTTCAGCTCCAGGAGGTGACAGGTGTTGACACCAGTGCTAAGCACCTGACAGGTCACATCTATGTGATTAACTTCTCTGTAAATAGATTCTTAACTGGCTCCAGGATTTCCTCTTTCATGTTTTGCAAACTAGGTTCTTAGAAACCAGGGGGATGGTTCATTTTAATCTTTGTACAACAGTTTGTAGCCCTTTGGGGTTGGTGAGTCACTCCAGGAAAGTTTGTTTTGTTATTGCATTTCTGGGCAAACTCTGCCTTAACACACTCCTGACTTAACCCTGTGTGTGCTGAAGATGTTCTGCTGTCATGTGAGACCGTCCTTTACCTGCTGGCCACTTGTCCATGGTCTGTGGAGAGAGACTTTGTTAATGCCATTGCACAAAAGCTCTTGAGCCTTGTTACTGTAAATGGTTTTGCCTCTGCAGCTTTGGGTGAAGATAGGGAGCAGGGCAGCTGGCCTGGGCAGCAGCAGCTCTTCAGGTTATCTAGTGCTGCCTCGTGGTAATGGGCATGTCTGCTCTGGTTCTCCAGCACCAACAGCAGACTCTGGTGGTGACAGTACAGCAGAGTAGAGCTGACTAGAAACCTTACTTGTAAAAGTGATTTTGTCCATCAGCAGAAGGCAGAAAAGCTGGGCTGCCATCTGCAGGTGCCACAAGTAGAGGCAAGAGCTGCCCACCAGCCCCTGTGCTGCTGCAGGACCACCCAGTGAGAGGGGCTCCAGCCTCACCTTGGAGCAAAGGGGAGGCAGAACCTGTCAGACCTGGTGGAGTTGTTCCTTTCCATGGACAAGAGCAGCAGATCTGTCTGTTCTGTACAATCATTCCCTCCCACCTTATACTTCTGTACAAAAAAAGCTTAAGCTGGATTTCAGTGTATGGTTGATGTTTGCAATATGTACTTTTTTTAAACTATAACACAATAAATTAGAAGATATTTCATATTTACATTCGAGTCCCTTTAGTACTTGTTTAGAGCATGTTGTCCTCGTGGGCCATGGAGCTGGAGGAATGTTCAGGAAGAAATACCAGACCTCATCCTCCTGCCTGTTGTTAGTTCTACCTCCTGGCACTGCTCAGGGCAAAGGCACCAGGGATCAGCCTCTGAGGATGCTGCAGAGCCCAGGGTTCATAGGTAACAAGACAAGGATCTTCAGGCTATAGTTCCAGCCTAACCCAAGGAAGCTGGAGCAGGAGCTACATGAGTTTGCCTCAACATGAGGCAGCAGAGTGAGTGCCATGAACACAGAGCTGCAGGGAGCAGAGCCATGTCTTGGGAAGTCCTGTTTTCCAGCCCTTCCCCTTGCAGCTGCCCCAGCACACCTCAAGGGAACAGCAGTGCCCACCACATTCTTCAGCTCTGTGGATGGAGATGAAGGTTCTTCAGCAG